CTATTGGTGGCTTTTGGTGGCTATTGGTGGCTATTGGTGGTTATTAGTGTTTATTGGTGGCTATAGGTGGCTATTGGTAGCTATTGGTGGCTATTGGTGGCTATTGGTGGCTATTGGTGGCTTTTGGTTGTAATTTGTTGCTATTGGTGGCTAATTGTGGCTATTGGTGTCTTTTGGTGGCTATTGGTGACTATTGGTGGCTATTGGTGGTTATTAATGGCTATTAGTTGCTATTGGTGGCGATTGGTGTATATTGGTGGCTTTTGGTGGTTATTGGTGTCTATTGGTGGCTATTGGTGGCTATTGGTGGCTATAGGTGGGTAGTGTTGGCTATTGTTGGCTATTGGTGGCTATTTGTGGCTATTGAAGGCTATTGGTGGCTATTAGTGGCCATTAATGGCTATTGGTGGCTATTGGTGGCTATTGGTGGCTATTGGTGGCTATTGGTGGCTATTGGTGGCTATTGGTGGCTATTGGTGGCTATTGGTGGCTATTGGTGGCTATTGGTGGCTATTGGTGGCTATTGGTGGCGATTGGTGTATATTGGTGGCTTTTGGTGGTTATTGGTGTCTATTGGTGGCTATTGGTGGCTATTGGTGGCTATAGGTGGGTAGTGTTGGCTATTGTTGGCTATTGGTGGCTATTTGTGGCTATTGGAGGCTATTGGTGGCTATTAGTGGCCATTAATGGCTATTGGTGGCTATTGGTGGCTATTAGTGACTATTGGTGGCTATTGGTGGCCATTGGTGGCTATTGGTGGATATTGGTGGCTATTGGTGGTGATTGGTGTCTATTGGTGTCTATTGGTGGCTATTGGTGGCTATTGGTGGTTATTGAAGGCTATTGGTGGCTATTGGTCACTATTGGTGGCTATTGGTGGTTATTAATGGCTATTGGTGGCTATAGGTGGCTCTTGGTGGCTATTGGTTATTATTGGTGGCTATTGATGGCTAATTGTGGCTATTGGTGGCTATTGGTGGCGATTGGTGGCGATTTGTGTCTATTGATGGCTATTGGTGTCTATTCGTGGCTATTCGTGGCTATTCGTGGCTATTGGTGGCTATTGGTGGCTATTGGTGGCTATTGGTGGCTATTGGTGGCTATTGGTGGCTATTGGTGGCTATTGGTGGCTATTGGTGGCTATTGGTGGCTATTGGTGGCTATTGGTGGCTATTGGTGGCTATTGGTGGCTATTGGTGGCTATTGGTGGCTATTGGTGGCTATTGGTGGCTATTGGTGGCTATTGGTGGCTATTGGTGGCTATTGGTGGCTATTGGTGGCTATTGGTGGCTATTGGTGGCTATTGGTGGCTATTGGTGGCTATTGGTGGCTATTGGTGGCTATTGGTGGCTATTGGTGGCTATTGGTGGCTATTGGTGGCTATTGGTGGCTATTGGTGGCTATTGGTGGCTATTGGTGGCTATTGGTGGCTATTGGTGGCTATTGGTGGCTATTGGTGGCTATTGGTGGCTATTGGTGGCTATTGGTGGCTATTGGTGGCTATTGGTGGCTATTGGTGGCTATTGGTGGCTATTGGTGGCTATTGGTGGCTATTGGTGGCTATTGGTGGCTATTGGTGGCTATTGGTGGCTATTGGTGGCTATTGGTGGCTATTGGTGGCTATTGGTGGCTATTGGTGGCTATTGGTGGCTATTGGTGGCTATTGGTGGCTATTGGTGGCTATTGGTGGCTATTGGTGGCGATTGGTGTCTATTGGTGGCTTTTGGTTGTTATTGGTGGCTATTGGTGGCTATTTGTGGCTATTGGAGGCTATTGGTGGCTATTGGTGTCTTTTGGTGGCTATTGGTGGCTTTTGGTTGCGATTTATGTCTATTGGTGGCTATTGCTGGCTATTGGTGGCTACTGGTGGCTATTGGTGGCGATTTGTGTCTATTGGTGGCTATTGCTTGCTATTGGTGGCTATTGGTGTCTATTGGTGGCTTTTGGTTGTTATTGGTGGCTATTGGTGGCTATTTGTGACTATTGGTGGCGATTGGTGGCTATTGGTGGCTATTGGTGGCGATTTGTGTCTATTGGTGGCTATTGGTGGCTATTGGTGGCTATTGGTGGCTATTGGTGGCTATTGGTGGCTATTGGTGGCTATTGGTGGCAATTGGTGTCTATTGGTGGCTTTTGGTGGCTATAGGTGGCTAGTGGTGGCTAGTGGTGGCTAGTGATGGCTAGTGGTGGCTATTAGTCTTTATTGGTGGCTATTGGTGGGTAATTGTGGCTATTGATGGCTATTGGTGGCTAATGGTAGCTATTGGTGTCTATTAATGGCTATTTGTGGGCTATTTGTGGCTATTGGGGCTATCGGTGTCTTTTGGTGGCTCATTGTGACTATTGGTGGCTATTGGTGGCTATTGGTGGCTATTGGTGGCTATTGGTGGCTATTGGTGGCTATTGGTGGCTATTGGTGTCTATTGGTGGCTATTGGTGGCTATTGGTGGCTATTGGTGGCTATTGGTCGCTTATTGTGGCTATTAGTGGCAATTGGTGGCTATTGGTGGCTATTAATTGCTATTGGGGGCTATTGGTGTTTATTGGTTGCTATTGGTTGCTATTGGTGGCTATTGGTGGCTAATGGTGGCTATTGCTGGCTATTGGTCGCGATTTGAGCCTATTGGTGGCTATTGGTGGCTATTGGTGGCTATTGGTGGCGATTTGTGTCTATTGGTTGCTATTGGTGGCTATTAGTGGCTATTGGTGTCTATTGATGGCTTTTGGTGGCGATTGGATTCTATTGGTTGTTATTGGTGGTTATTGGTGGCTATTGGTTGCTATTGGTGGGTATTGGTGGCTATTGGTGGCTATTGGTGGCGATTTGTGTCTATTGGTGGCTATTGGTGGCTATTGGTGGCTATTGGTGGCTATTGGTGGCTATTGGTGGCTATTGGTGGCTATTGGTGGCTATTGGTGGCTATTGGTGGCTATTGGTGGCTATTGGTGGCTATTGGTGGCTATTGGTGGCTATTGGTGGCTATTGGTGGCTATTGGTGGCTATTGGTGGCTATTGGTGGCTATTGGTGGCTATTGGTGGCTATTGGTGGCTATTGGTGGCTATTGGTGGCTATTGGTGGCTATTGGTGGCTATTGGTGGCTATTGGTGGCTATTGGTGGCTATTGGTGGCTATTGGTGGCTATTGGTGGCTATTGGTGGCTATTGGTGGCTATTGGTGGCTATTGGTGGCTATTGGTGGCTATTGGTGGCTATTGGTGGCTATTGGTGGCTATTGGTGGCTATTGGTGGCTATTGGTGGCTATTGGTGGCTATTGGTGGCTATTGGTGGCTATTGGTGGCTATTGGTGGCTATTGGTGGCTATTGGTGGCTATTGGTGGCTATTGGTGGCTATTGGTGGCTATTGGTGGCTATTGGTGGCTATTGGTGGCTATTGGTGGCTATTGGTGGCTATTGGTGGCTATTGGTGGCTATTGGTGGCTATTGGTGGCTATTGGTGGCTATTGGTGGCTATTGGTGGCTATTGGTGGCTATTGGTGGCTATTGGTGGCTATTGGTGGCTATTGGTGGCTATTGGTGGCTATTGGTGGCTATTGGTGGCTATTGGTGGCTATTGGTGGCTATTGGTGGCTATTGGTGGCTATTGGTGGCTATTGGTGGCTATTGGTGGCTATTGGTGGCTATTGGTGGCTATTGGTGGCTATTGGTGGCTATTGGTGGCTATTGGTGGCTATTGGTGGCTATTGGTGGCTATTGGTGGCTATTGGTGGCTATTGGTGGTTATTGGTGTCTATTGGTGGCTATTGGTGGCAATTGGTGGCTTTTGGTGGCTATTGGTGGCTATTGGTTGCTATTGGTGTCTATTGGTGGCTATTGGTGGCTATTGGTGTCTATTGGTGACTATTGGTGGCTATTGGTGGCTATTGGTGGCTATTGGTGGCTATTGGTTGCTATTGGTGTCTATTGGTGGCTATTGGTGGCTATTGGTGTCTATTGGTGTCTATTGGTGTCTATTGGTGTCGAAAGGAACATTTTGGATTTTGTGGGGGAGACCGGGATCAGACGTGGGAGGGGGGAGGAGCGTCGCACATGTAAGATGGTGAGGAAAGAGGTGTGGGTTTCATGGCAGGGTTGAGGAGAGAACCCCCACATGGTTAGATGCTGTCCCCTGGGCGCCTATAATATCAGGGTTCTGGGCGGCCGAGCGGTCTAAATTGAGCAATATCCAAGACAAGCAAAAACAACACCAGCGCCCCAGATGGATGGGACTCGTTTACCCTGGATGGCAAATTTGTTTAAGAGATTTGCAAACTCTGAAATTAAACCCTGGAGATGGAGTCCCGTTGGCGGTATGACATTGAAACGTTGAACAAGTCGACAAGAGAGCAGCACATCATGGTCTATTTCCAGTCGTCTTGACAATGTTTTTTGGAATTGGAACAAATAGACAAGACGAACTGGGCAACTCTCCCTCGCTCACTACAGTTCAAGTCAAGGTGTATCACGCAGCTCGAATCTTGCTCTTGGTCATTTCGCATTAAAATAACACATCGTTAAAACATATCCGTTTCTTAGCTCCTGTTCACTTAACTCCTTCACAAGATCAAAGGCGAAAGGTGAAGGTTAAAGGTGTTGCCGGCGAGTGTCAATTCATAACAACTTTAACTTTTCAATCGGTTTTTATTGCTGATCGATATCATGCATTAATTTGTTGTTATAATGAGCAGCCGTTGTGTGATGATGATGGTCTGTGTGGTCAGAGTTTGGGGGGGGGGGTCCCTTGTGTGTTCACCGACTGAGTACATTTAGAAACAGACGCGCTCTTAAGTCAACCGAAATAAAACTTTTCAATCGGGTTTTATTGCTGATCGATATCATGCATTAATTTGTTGTTATAATGAGCAGCCGTTGTGTGATGATGATGGTCTGTGTGGTCAGAGTTTGGGGGGGGGGGGGTCCCTTGTGTGTTCACCGACTGAGTACATTTAGAAACAGACGCGCTCTTAAGTCAACCGAAATAAAAGCAGCAGAGACTTCAACATTATTGTATTCATTTTAATAAAAGTCTGAGGATGGAGAGTGTTCTTCTTCTTTCAGTAGCAGTAAGTATACTTCAGTAGCAGTAAGTATACTTCAGTAGCAGTAAGTATACTTCAGTAGCAGTGAGTATACTTCAGTAGCAGTGAGTATAATTCAGTAGCAGTAAGTTTAATTCGGTATCAGTAGGTATAATTCAGTAGCAGTAAATATAATTCATTATCAGTAAGTATAATTTAGTAGCAGTAACTATATCTCAGTAGCAGTAAGTATAATTCAGTAGCAGTGTGTATATTTCAGTAGCAGTAAGTATAACTCAGTAGCAGTCAGTATACTTCAGTAGCAGTAAGTTTAATTCAGCAGCCGTAAATATAATCCAGTAGCGGTAAGTATACTTCAGTAGCAGTAAGTATAATTCAGTAGAAGTAAGGATAATTCAACACAAATGCTTGGGACTGGTAGTCCTCTTGACCCCTGTAAATGCTTTGAGACATAAAAGGAAATGAGTAAAACAAAGTAGGGTCAACCCTGAAAGAAGGAACGCAACAAAACAACGAACGTGTCGGCAGGAAGCCTTCATCGGCAAACAAACAACAGAAAAAAGCAGAATTAAGTTTTAAAAATAGCACCGAGTTATGAAGTAGTATCCGAGACACATACGCCTAATTAGCTTGAGACCCTTGGCCAGTATTGCTTGATGCTTACTGCGCCAAATTTTTGTGACCTTGACCTATATCCGCACTGTTGGAGAACCCATATTGAGTCCTCGTTGCCTGAGAGCCATGGGCCGCCTTGTCTGAGACTTATTGCATGAGACCCCTTATTTAAGGTTCCTTGTTTGAGAATCATTGTTTAGGACTCCCTGTATGAGACTTTTAGTTTGAGACTCCTTTTCTGAAACTCCTTGTTTGAAACTCTTTATTTGAGACTCCTTATTTAAGACTCCTTATTTGAGAATCCCTGTTTGAGACGCCTTGTTTGAGACTCCTTGTATGAGAATGGTTGTATGAGACTCCTTATATGAGACTCCTTGTATGAGACTCCTTGTATGAGACTCCTTGTATGAGACTCCTTGTATGACACCCAATCGTCACACATTTGTACAGTTTGATAAGTGCATCGAGTTAAGAGGGTTTGGATTGATTTCATTGATCAATTTGTAGCCTTTACAATAAGATAACTGATGTGTTCCTAGAGTACCTCGTCTACAATAAGATAAATGATGTGTTCCTAAAGTACTTTGTCTACAATAAGGTAACTGATGTGTTCCTAAAGTACCTCGTCTACAATAAGACAACTGATGTGTTCCTAAAGTACCTCGTCTAAAATAAGATAAATGATGTGTTCCTAAAGTACTTCGTCTACAATAAGGTAACTGATGTGTTCCTAAAGTACATCGTCTACAATAAGATAACGGATGTGTTCCTAAAGTACCTCGTCTACAATAAGATAAATGATGTGTTGCTAGAGTACCTCGTCTACAATAAGATAACTGATGTGTTCCTAAAGTACATCGTCTACAATAAGATAAATGATGTGTTCCTAAAGTACCTCGTCTACAATAAGATAACTGGTGTGTTCCTAGAGTACCTCGTCTACAATAAGATAACTGATATGTTCCTAAAGTACATCGTCTAAAATAAGATAAATGATGTGTTCCTAAAGTACTTCGTCTACAATAAGATAACTGATGTGTTCCTAAAGTACTTCGTCTACAATAAGATAACTGATGTGTTCCTAAAGTACCTTGCCTACAATAAGATAACGGATGTGTTCCTAAAGTACCTCGTCTACAATAAGATAACGGATGTGTTCCTACAGAACCTCGACTACAATAAGATAACGGATGTGTTCCTACAGTTCCTCGTCTACAATAAGATAATTGATGTGTTCCTAAAGTACCTCATCTACAATAAGATAAATGATGTGTTGCTAAAGTACCTCGTCTACAATAAGATAACTGATGTGTTCCTAAAGTACCTCGTCTACAATAAGATAAATGATGTGTTCCCACAGTATCTCGTCAACAATAAGATAAATGATGTGTTCCTAAAGTACCTCGTCTACAATAAGATAAATGATGTGTTCCTAAAGTAACTCGTCTACAATAAAGATAACTGATGTGTTCCTATAGTACCTCGTCTACAATAAGATAACGGATGTGATCCTACAGTTCCTCGTCTACAATAAGATAATTGATGTGTTCCTAAAGTACCTCATCTACAATAAGATAAATGATGTGTTGCTAAAGTACCTCGTCTACAATAATATAACTGATGTGTTCCTAAAGTACATCGTCTACAATAAGATAAATGATGTGTTCCCACAGTATCTCGTCTACAATAAGATAACTGATGTGTTCCTAGAGTACCTCGCCTACAGTAAGATAACTGATGTGTTCCTAGAGTACCTCGCCTACAATAAGATAAATGATGTGTTCCTAAAGTACCTAGTCTACAATAAGATAACTGATGTGTTCCTAAAGTACCTCGTCAACAATAAGATAACTGATGTGTTCCTAAAGTACCTCGCCTACAATAAGATAACTGATGTGCTCCTAAAGTACCTCGTCTACCATAAGATAACGGATGTGTTCCTACAGTACCTCGTCTACAATAAGATAACGGATGTGTTCCTACAGTACCTCGTCTACAATAAGATAATTGATGTGTTCCTAAATTACCTCGTCTACAATAAGATAACGGATGTGTTCCTACAGTACCTCGTCTACAATAAGATAACGGATGTGTTCCTACAGTACCTCGTCTACAATAAGATAATTGATGTGTTCCTAAAGTACCTCGTCTACAATAAGATAAATGATGTGTTCCCACAGTATCTCGTCAACAATAAGATAACTGATGTGTTCCTAAAGTACCTCGTCTACAATTAGATAACTGATGTGTTCCTAGAGTAACTCGCCTACAATAAGATAACGGATGTGTTCCTACAGTACCTCGTCTACAATAAGATAATTGATGTGTTCCTAAAGTACCTCGTCTACAATAAGATAACTGATGTGTTCCTAAAGTACCTCGCCTACAATAAGATAACGGATGTGTTCCTAAAGTACCGCGCCTATAATAAGATAACGGATGTCTTCCTAAAGTACCGCGTCTACAATAAGATAACGGATGTATTCCTACAGTACCTCGTCTACAATAAGATAACGGATGTGTTCCTACAGTACCTCGTCTACAATAAGATAACGGATGTGTTCCTACAGTACCTCGTCTACAATAAGATAATTTATGTGTTCCTAAAGTACCTCGACTACAATAAGATAAATGATGTGTTCCTAAAGTACCTCGTCTACAATAAGATAACTGATGTGTTCCTAAAGTACCTCGTCTACAATAAGATAAATGATGTGTTCCCACAGTATCTCGTCATCAATAAGATAACGGATGTGTTCCTAAAGTACCTCGTCAACAATAAGATAAATGATGTGTTCCTAAAGTACTTCGTCTACAATAAGATAACTGATGTGTTCCTAGAGTACCTCGTCTACAATAAGATAACGGATGTGTTCCTAAAGTACCTCGTCTACAATAAGATAACTGATGTGTTCCTAGAGTATTCGCCTACAATAAGATAACTGATGTGTTCCTAAAGTACCTCGTCTACAATAAGATAACTGATGTGTTCCTAAAGTACCTCGTCTACAATAAGATAACTGATGTGTTCCTAAAGTACCTCGCCTACAATAAGATAACTGATGTGTTCCCACAATAGCTCGTCAACAATAAGATAACTGATGTGTTCCTAAAGTACCTCGTCTACAATTAGATAACTGATGTGTTCCTAAAGTACCTCGTCTACAATAAGATAACTGATGTGTTCCTAAAGTACCTCGTCTACAATAAGATAACTTATGTGTTCCTAAAGTACCTCGTCTACAATAAGATAAATGATGTATTCCTAAATTACCTCGTCTACAATAAGATAACTGTTGTGTTCCTAAAGTACCTCGTATACAATGAGATAAATTATTTTTTCCTAAAGTACTTCGTCTACAATAAGATAACTGATGTGTTCCTAGAGTACCTTGTCTACAATAAGATAACTGATGTGTTCCTAGAGTACCTCGTCTCCAATAAGATAAATGATGTGTTCCTAAAGTACCTCGTCTACAATAAGATAACTGATGTGTTCCTAAAGTACCTCGTCTACAATAAGATAACTGATGTGTTCCTAAAGTACTTCGTCTACAATAAGATAACTGATGTGTTCCTAGAGTACCTGGTCTACAATAAGATAACTTATGTGTTCCTAGAGTACCTCGTCTACAATAAGATAACTGATATGTTCCTAGAGTACTTCGTCAATTACCATACTATTACTCAGGTGTTCTTTATCATAATATTACTCAGAGTGAACTGCTTTATTGCTGTAACATGTGTAGTATTGTAGCTAGTGGGGCTGTGTGGTAGCACGTCTGTGTAGTAGTGTAGCCAGTAGGGCTGTGTGGTAGCTCACCTCTGTAGTAGAGTAGCAAATGGGCTGTGTGGTACCTCTCCTCTGTAGCCAGTGGGTCTGAGGGGCAGCTCACCTGTGTAGTAGTGTAGCCAGTGGTGGTCTGTGGTAGCTCACCTTTGTAGTATTGTAGCCATTGCGGCTGTGATGTAGCTAATCTGTGAGGTAGTGTAGCAAGTGGAGCTGTGTGGTACTTCGCCATTGTAGCCAGTGGTAGCAAACACGTGTAGTGCTGTATCCAGTGGGGTAGCCAGCCTGTGTAGTAGTGTAGCCAGTGGTTCTGTGGGGTACATATTGATTTTTTTTTCTTAAAGCTAGTGAATTGAGTTAAGTAAAACCAATCCAAGACTGAATCACACCTATGACTGTTGTTTCTCCAGATGGCTCAGATTCTGTCAGCAGACGCAGCCGTCCCAGGAAGACTTGAGGACGGTTGTTTGAAAGTTTCTTGTAACTGCACCACCGCGCCAATCTGCAGAATGGCCCAACTTTGTGCTGGACTCTACTGTCCACTTGAAGCCAGGTGTTTGACTTGTCTGCCTAAAGGTTGCTGCGTTTATCTCTGGTCTTTGAGGGAGGGAAATGGAATGGAATAGGGAAGGGAAATGGAAAGGAAAGGAAAGGGATATGGAAGGGAAATGGAAGGGATATGGAAGGGAAATGGAAGGGAAATGGAAGGGAAAGGGAAGGGAAATAGAAGGGAAATGGAAGGGAAATGGAAAGGAAATGGAAGGGAAATGGAAGGGAAATGGAAAGGAAATGGAAGGGAAATGGAAGGGAACTGGAAGGGAAATGGAAGGGAAAGGGAAGGGAAATAGAAGGGAAATGGAAGGGAAATTGAAAGGAAATGGAAGGGAAATGGAAGGGAAATGGAAAGGAAATGGAAGGGAAATGGAAGGGAACGGACGGGAAGAAAGGGGAAGGGAAAGGAAGTGGAAGGGAAGAGAAAGGAAGTGAGTTAATGGAAAGGAAGGGAGGGGAAGGGAAGAGAAAGGAAGTGAGTGAATGGAAAGGAAGGGAGGGGAAGGGAAAGGAGAAGGAAAGAGAAGGGAAGGGAAGGAAATGGAAGAAAGGAAGGCAAAGGAAGGGAAGGGAATGGCAGTAGAATTTGTGGCGTGGGGGCTTGTACAATGAAATTGTTATCCATTGGGGCTTTGGGCACAAGTTGTTTGGTGCGTGATGATTTAGTAGTATGAGATATTTGTGTCAACGTAATATTTGAAAACAATATTTAAATATGTCGCTTGGACATCTGTGTCGTGGTGTGTACACATATTTGTAACATACCATTTTAGTATCACTTGTACATCTGTGGCCAAAAATGTCACAGAAAAGACACAAGAAAACGTCAAAGGAAAAGTTCATAGGAAAAAGTCACAGAAAAAACAGTCCCTGGAAAAATACCATAGATAAAAGTCACAGGAAAAAAAGTCACATTAAAAACTTTATATTAACCGTAATTTTATTTATAAGACAATACAACTTTTTTGTTTTGTTACAGACTAAATATCAGACAATGGACATAAACCAAGTGGTCGCTGTTTGATTCTAGCATGGGATTAAATATGTGTATGTTGTTTGTGTTTTGTATACATACGAGGATCACACTTTTCACTCTATGATTTAATTAAAATTATTTTCATTGTCATGCATGAAGCAAATAAGCACGAATATTGTAAGGAAACCTTGCTTGCTCTCTGCTAACCTTCATCTATATCTGGCATTCACTAAGGAAACAACTCAGGCGATAACAATTGATGATTATAATCTTGTTCTTTATTAGGCTGACACTTCGCTTATACTTTCTCTCATCTCACAACTCTGACTGCCCTCTTCTCATACCGTCCGAGTTCTCCCTATTATCTGCTTCTCTGTCCGGCCGCGTTCTATTCCGTACCGTCCAGAGGTCCCTATTTATAAGTCCCTGGTTCATAGAGTTCCCTTCCCAGGTCTGTACTCGCGCCGCCCCTTTTCCTGAATCGGCGCCAGGTTACCAACCAGTCGTCCCAGGGAAATGCCCTGGTCAGATGGCCGGTACCGCCCCCGGCGCTTGATCCGTCGATCGTGATCCCTGGTCAGATGGCACCGGCTGTACCTGGTCAGACCGGCCGGTAATCCCTGGTCAGACGCCCCCGCGCCGTCGTAGTCCGAACTCTCCACAATATTACAGATTGAATAGCAATAAAGTAACTAAGCGATTGGGTAGAGATTAAGCTCTCGTCCAAAATGGATTGTGATTTAGAGATTATCATCTCGCTCTAAAAGATTGTGATTTAGAGAATGCGCTCGCGTTCTAAAAGATTGTGGTTTAGAGATTAAGCTCTCGTCCAAAATGGATTGTGATTTAGAGATTAAGCTCTCGTCCAAAATGGATTGTGATTTAGAGATTAAGCTCTCGTCCAAAATGGATTGTGATTTAGAGATTAAGCTCTCGTCCAAAATGGATTGTGATTTAGAGATTATCATCTCGCTCTAAAAGATTGTGATTTAGAGAATGAGCTCGCGTTCTAAAAGATTGTGGTTTAGAAATTAAGCGCTCGTCCAAAATGGATTGTGATTTAGAGATTAAGCTCTCGTCCAAAATGGATTGTGATTTAGAGATTAAGCGCTCGTCCAAAATGGATTGTGATTTAGAGATTATCATCTCGCTCTAAAAGATTGTGATTTAGAGAATGAGCTAGCGTTCTAAAAGATTGTGGTTTAGAGATTAAGTTCTCGTCCAAAATGGATTGTGATTTAGAGATTAAGCTCTCGTTCAAAATGGATTGTGATTTAGAGATTAAGCTCTCGTCCAAAATGGATTGTGATTTAGAGATTAAGCTCTCGTCCAAAATGGATTGTGATTTAGAGATTAAGCTCTCGTCCACAATGGATTGTGATTTAGAGATTATCATCTCGCTCTAAAAGATTGTGATTTAGAGAATGAGCTCGCGTTCTAAAAGATTGTGGTTTAGAGATTTAGCTCTCGTCCAAAATGGATTGTGATTTAGACATTATCATCTCGTTCTAAAGGATTGTGATTGTTTTCTCGCACGGCGTACGGATGTTCTTATTTTGTTTGTTGTTAAGCGTGTGTGTGTGTGTGATTGTCATTTTAAAGAATTCGCCCTTGACCTCTCTGACACATCTCACATACTAAAGGAATCAAAGGAAATCGAGGGACGTTGCATGGTGGTAGTAGTTTAGTGATAACTCTATCCAGACAAAGTATCCATGGCCTCAATGCGGCGTTGGACCAAAAGACCAAAGTTTGGTAAAATTCCTTTGTTTCCCTTGTCTTGTCAGAATTTACTCCAAACAACTCAAAATTATTTTTTACGTTTCACATTCAGACGTATCTATTAATATTTATGTGATACTCATCAATGCATATGTATGTTTTTTTGTAAATGCGTCTGATTAATGCGTCATAATTGTTCTTTTTTTCTTCTAATAAATTTTCTTCTCGTGCCTTGTGGCTCCATTTACTGATATTTAGTCTATCATAAATATTTATATAGTTTATATGGAGTTACAAAAAAAAATTACGGTTAATAAAAAAAAAATTGTGAATTTTTTTCCTGCGACGTTTAAAAAAATAATCTACAATTGGTCCAGAGGGTCCACATTACATAGCATCAACAAGTCTGGCGTTCATCAGAGTAAACTATAGTTGGTTTCTATCAAGCTGACGTTCATCAGAGTAAACTATAGTTGGTTTCTATAAGGCTGACGTTCATCAGAGTAAACTATAGTTGGTTTCTATCAAGCTGACGTTCATCAGAGTAAACTATAGTTGGTTTCTATAACGCTGACGTTCATCAGAGTAAAATATAGTTGGTTTCTATAAGGCTGACGTTCATCAGAGTAAACTATAGTTGGTTTCTATAAGGCTGACGTTCATCAGAGTAAACTATAGTTGGTTTCTATAAGGCTGACGTTCAGCAGAGTAAACTATAGTTGGTTTCTATAAGGCTGACGTTCATCAGAGTAAACTATAGTTGGTTTCTATAAGGCTGACGTTCATCAGAGTAAACTATAGTTGGTTTCTATAAGGCTGACGTTCAGCAGAGTAAACTATAGTTGGTTTCTATAAGGCTGACGTTCAGCAGAGTAAACTATAGTTGGTTTCTATAAGGCTGACGTTCATCAGAGTAAACTATAGTTGGTTTCTATAAGGCTGACGTTCATCAGAGTAAACTATAGTTGGTTTCTATAAGGCTGACGTTCATCAGAGTAAACTATAGTTGGTTTCTACAAGGCTGACGTTCATCAGAGTAAAATATAGTTGGTTTCTATAAGGCTGACGTTCAGCAGAGTAAACTATAGTTGGTTTCTATAAGGCTGACGTTCAGCAGAGTAAACTATAGTTGGTTTCTACAAGTCTGACGTTCAGCAGAGTAAACTATAGTTGGTTTCTACAAGTCTGACGTTCAGCAGAGTAAACTATAGTTGGTTTCTATAAGGCTGACGTTCAGCAGAGTAAACTATTGTTGGTTTCTATATGGCTGACGTTCAGCAGAGTAAACTATAGTTGGTTTCTACAAGTCTGACGTTCAGCAGAGTAAACTATAGTTGGTTTCTACAAGTCTGACGTTCAGCAGAGTAAACTATTGTTGGTTTCTATAAGGCTGACGTTCAGCAGAGTAAACTATTGTTTGTTTCTATAAGGCTGACGTTCATCAGAGTAAACTATTGTTGGTTTCTATAAGGCTGACGTTCAGCAGAGTAAACTATAGTTGGTTTCTATAAGTCTGGCGTTCAGCAGAGTAAACTATTGTTGGTTTCTATAAGTCTGGCGTTCAGCAGAGTAAACTATAGTTTGTTTCTATACTACATGAATTCCAAGGAAACAAACACAAGGCCTTATGACGCCACAAATAAAAGCCATTACAGCCATATAACGCTATCTAGCAAAGAGCATTTTTTTCCTTATTACATTTTTTTTTTAAATATATATATACACTTTCTTTAAGAAATTATTAATTTTTATTTATAAAACTTCTTTAAGAATTAGATAATATAAAATATGTATATCAGCCATCGATTTTGACCTTCTTTTTTAATTTGGGCCTGCTGTCACCTGGCCCAGCGTAAGTTACTCCTCTAGTGGCAGTTATATCTTGTAAATATCATTTAAGTATTTAGTCTGCTGTATTCCAGATTTTGACAGTGTGTGTACCAGGAACGGCTATTTATATGCTGTCATGGTTGATGATGGGAACCAGCCAAGGTAAATAGTTCTGTCATGGTTGATGATGGGAGTCAGCCAAAGTAAATAGTTATGTCATTGTTGATGATGGGAACCAGCCAAGATAAATAGTTATGCTATTGTTGATGATGGAAGCCAGCCCAGATAAATAGATCTGTCCTTGTTGATGATGGGAACCAGCCCAGGTAAATAGATCTGTCCTTGTTGATGATGGGAACCAGCCCAGGTTAATAGTTCTGTAATTGTTGATGATGGGAACCAAGCACAGTTAAAAAGTTATGTCATTGTTGATGATGGCAGCCAGCCCAGGTAAACAGTTCTGTCATTATTGATGATGGCAGCCAGCCCAGGTAAATAGTTATGTCATTGTTGATGATGGGAACCAGCCCAGGTAAATAGTTCGGTCATTGTTGATGATGGGAACCAGCCAAGGTAAATAGTTCTGTCATTATTGATGATGGCAGCCAGCCAAGTTAAATAGTTCTGTCATTGTTGATTATGGGAGCCAGCCAAGGTAAATTGTTCTGTCTTTGTTGATTATGGGAGTCAGCCAAGGTAAATTTTTCTGTTTTTACAAAAGTTATGAAATAAGATTGAGTAATATTTAGGAAAGTCTCTTGATTTCCTCTGCATGGCCTAACAGTATACGCGTCTAAGTGGATTGATGAATCTTGGCCAAAGTTGTCCCCCCTATATTAGGGATAACTTTAAGTGTACCCCATGGAACGAGATCCATTATGGAACAAGATCCCACCAGGCATTGGGGCCCTCTGGAGAAGGAATCTACTGGAGAACGGGCTCCATTGGGGACCGGGATCCCTACGAGGAACGAGGTTCTACCGGGAATGGGATCCTTATGGGATCCTAAGTTTATTTTAAGTGATGTTGGTGAATTTTTTTTTTAATTTGAAAACTTTCAAAAGTTCGTTTTCACTTCAATCGTGATTTTTTGTTTACTTTTCTTTCTTGGCCAAGCTTGAATATTACCGTATTTATTGGCGTATAACACGCACAGACGTATTTATTTATTTATTTATTTATTTAGGCATTTTTTATATAGCGCTTACCTTAAAGCTCTAAGCCCTTTACAATTATTAAAAACATGTAAACTAAGTAAAATAAAAATGAGACACAAGGATAGTAACTACTATACTATAGAAACAATTAAAATGGCTATAAAACGAGGACACTTTGACACGTTTTGGCCTATAATGCAGGATCAACCCGAGACAGAAAATGAGGCAGGGCAAGGAGGGTGCATCACAGGTCATAGGCGGACCTAAACAGATGGGTTTTAAGGGACTTTTTAAAAGTGGACGAGGTTTCACAATGACGGATATGGAAGGGGAGCTGGTTCCAGAACGTGGGCCCATGGAAGTCGAAGGAGCGTTCACCGATGGTCTTAGTTTTGGTTCTTGGGATTGAGAGAGTTCTACTGTCAATGGAAGAGCGTAGTTGTCTTGTGACGTATAACACGCACCACTCGCGCCGGTATGCGGTATGTGCTATGGGTCCTTACCATTATATCGGCGTATAACACGCACACCTCATTTGCCACCTATTTTCAGGGAGAAAAAGTGCGTGTTACACGCCGATAAATACGGTAATTTAAACTGACCAGGCTTACCTCTTGTTCCGTGTCAGGACTCCGGACAATTTTTTTTATTTTTAATGCAATTGTAAAACAAGGTATGTTGAAGCTCGAATCAAAAGACGGTTCACAGTCGGCTTCGAGCTGACCCTTCTTTCGTTGGGAGTAAGCCATGCTCAAGAAGCCGGTGTAGGACTTGTCCCTATACACGCCCAACAAAAGACAATTGCCTCTGTAAAGGTCCCTTTACACCAACGAGGGTTTCACATGCGTCAGTCGGAATGTGATACATGTGAATATGTGCCGTAGATGTCATTCCAGTTATATAGGCGAAACAGGGAGGAGATTGTCAGATAGGCTCACAGGACATCTTCCGGATCTTGGGCAAGGTAAACTTTCCCCAGTCTCTTCACATTTCAACAGAGGTGTATTAGATGTAATCATTACGGCACTAATTTCCTGTACAAACATACCAGAGAGAGTTAAATTTATGGAAAACAAATTTATTATGCATTTCGGCACCATATCTCCATTTGGTATTAATCAAATACTCTCCTACTAGTGTTTCTCAATTTTCCTGTATTTCTTCTTATTTTTATTATTATTATTATTATTATTATCCCTCAGATTTTTATGTATCCTTAATTAGTTTGGTTCGTTAAGATTTTATTCTTTATTTTTCACAGTATCAATATTTAGTTTCTTTCACTTCCTGTAATCCTGCTTCCGGCAACAACAAGGAGAGCACTAACGTTGTTTACTCTGCTCTGTTTCTTGTCTTACTTCTATTTGTCCTCTTCGCCGAAGAAGGCTCTGAGCCGAAACCTTCACATCTTATTGTCATGTCTTTTGATTCAAGCTTCAACATACCTTGTTTTACTATTTCATTCACATAGCTTGAATGCAGCCCTTCAATTATTATCAACATTTTTAACCAACATCTCATTTTTTCACGGACCTGCTTTGTATAGTCATGTTGAAAGTGTTATTTAATTTTAAAAAGTGTTGCTCTTTTCCTCCTCCCCCCACCCCCCAACTCCCCAGTGGAATCGTTGAACGCAAGTGTCTCCTCCATCAAGGAAACACCGAGCCCAACTGCCCCAGCGGTTCGATCTGTGTAGCAGACGATAGAGGTTTCGGTACGTGCTGCTACGGCAGGCCCAAACCCGACCCCCTCGAGGAGCCGGTGTCGTCGAAAAAGAAACCAAAAACGTGTCCCCAGGTCAGCAACAAGTGCGACCGTTGCCAACGGGACCGGGACGTCTGCAAAGAGTTCACCATCTTCTGCTTGATCCCGCCTTGCCCTGACCCCACTTACAAGTGCGTCCCTATCAACAGACAAGGGGAGTGCCCGCCCCCATCCAGGGTCTGCGAGAGGAGATTCCACCGCTGCTTCTACGACTACGAGTGTAGCGGGACCTTGAAATGCTGTCCAGACGACTGCCAAATAAGAAGCTGCGTCCCATCGGTTCCGGTATCGGAGGTTGGCTGTTTGTATTCGAATTGAACCAAGGGAAATCACTCTTATTTTTGTTCATTACCATTAAATATATCAGTTCTCTACACTTGATTTTTTTTTTCTTCTTCAATATTTGAATGTACAAAATAAATATTATTGTTGTTATGATGATATAAACTGTAATGCTGCTGATTGAAGATTCAGTAAAAAAGGCAGGATTTGTAATGTTGACGTGCTGAAACAAAATTAGGGGATATTATAATAGTAAAAGTTTTCCTTTATTTTGAAATGTACAAAATATTGGCTCTAGAGATGCATGTGCTGGACAAGATTTTTTTAAAAATTTAAAGTGAAAACAAAAATGTATTTATGTTTTTTCTACATTTATTGAAATTCTTTGGCTTCATAGAGTGTCTTACTATGGCTTCAAAGAGTGCCTTACTGTGGCTTCATAGAGTGTCTTACTATGGCTTCATAGAGTGCCTTACTATGGCTTCATAGAGTGTCTTACTATGGCTTCATAGAGTGTCTTACTATGGCTTCATAGAGTGTCTTACTATGGCTTCATAGAGTGCCTTACTATGGCTTCATAGAGTGTCTTACTATGGCTTCATAGAGTGTCTTACTATGGATTCGTAGAGTGTCTTACTATGGCTTCATGGAGTGCCTTACTATGGCTTCAAAGAGTGCCTTACTATGGCTTCATAGAGTGCCTTACTATGGCTTCATAGAGTGTCTTACTATGGCTTCATAGAGTGCCTTACTATGGCTTCATAGAGTGCCTTACTAACTTTCAGCACATACTTTCTTTGAGTAATAAATTTTAGGAAAATTATTTTCTACTTTTAAGTGCGTCTAAACTCGTCTTCAAACTTTGTTTTGACTTAAGCCCCCCCCCACCCCCCCCACCCTTTTTTTCTCCACTGGCCCCATAAGCTCACCTGGACCACCCCAAGTCAAGCCCTATTATTATAAGCATTCTCAAAATAAAGTTCTTCTGACCATCTAGGGAAGATAAGGACACAACGAAATTTTAACTACCGGACTAGAATTATTTTGCAAGCATAAATTTCATTATTTATGATTCCTTTATTTGTCAATTATTTTTTTCCAATCGAAAAATTGGGATTAATGTTTTTTATTCATTGACATAAGAAATTTAGAAAATGAGAGAGTGGAAGGGGTGTAGACATAAGGATGGAGGGTAATTAGAACACGTAGAAATAAGACCAAGTAGGATTGAGACCAATTAGAAATGAGATCACGTAGGAATGAGAAACGTAGGAATGAGACAACGTAGGAATGAGACCAAGTAGGAATGAGACCACGTAGGAATGAGACCACGTAGGATTGAGACCAAGTAGAAATGAGACCGCATAAGAACGATACCACGTAAGAACGATACTGCGTAAGAATGAGAACACGCTATAGTGAGACCAAGTATAAATGAGACCACGTAGGAATGAGACCAAGTATTAGTATAAATGAGACCAAGTAGGAATGAGAAAACCTAGGAATAAGAACAAGTAGGATTGAGATCAATTAGGAAAGAGACCGAGTAGGAATGAGACCACGTAAGAATGAGACCACGTAGGAATGAGACAAAGTAGAAATGAGACCAAGTAGGAATGAGACCAATTAGGAATGAGATCACGTAGTATCGAGACCAAGTAGGAATGAAACCAAGTATAAATGAGACCAAGTAGGAATGAGACCAAGTGGGATTGATAAAACCTAGGAATAAAACCAAGTATGATTGAGATCAATTAGGAATGAGACCACGTAGGAATGAGACAAAGTAGAAATGAGACCAAGTAGGAATGAGACAAGTAGAAATTAGACAACCTAGGAATGAGACCAAGTAGGAATGAGACCAAGTCGGAATGAGACCAAATAGGATTGAGACAACCTAGTAATGAGCCCAAGTAGGAATGAGACCATCTAGGAATGAGACCTCTTAAGAATGATATCGTGTAAGAATGAGACCGCGTAAGAACGAGACCACGTTAGAGTGAGACCAAGTATAAATGACACCACGTAGGAATGAGACAAAGTAGAAATGAGACCAAGTAGTGATGAGACCACATAGGACTAAGACCACGTAAGAATGAGACCAAGTAGAAATGAGACTGCCATCAAACACTAAGAGAACGTGGAGATCGTGACGTCATATTATAACATTTTAATATAATGGTCAATTTTACTAACTTATTTTCGTTTTAAATTTTAAGACAATTTATTTTTTAAAAGGTTTTAAAGGTTATTACATTTCTGGAAAATATGGAAGAAACGAAAGGAAAAAAAAAATTGAATACATTCATTCTTCAGAGAAAGTTTTTTTCAGGGTAAAAGATTTCATCAAATGAACTTTCAGAAACTGTTGATGATGAACCAGCTTTGCAACCTACAACAAAGAAGTAACAACAAAAGCAACGAGTTGGTTGGGGGAAGTAAGACAGCTTGGTAATGAAAGGAATCCTTTGAAGATCCCGAAAACCTGTTATCGTGTATCAATTTCGTACTGCTATTGATACGGCTGTTGATTCACTGCTATTGATACGGCTGTTGATTCAAAGCTATTGATACGGCTGTTGATTCTCTGCTATTGATGCGGCTATTGATTCACTGCTATTGATACTGATATTGATTCTCTGCTATTGATACGGCTGTTGATTCTCTGCTATTGATACTGATATTGATTCTCTGCTATTGATACTGATATTGATCCTCTGCTATTGATACGGCTGTTGATTCACTGCTATTGATACGGCTATTGATTCTCTGCTATTGATACTGATATTGATTCTCTGCTGTTTCTACTGATATTAATTCTGTTACAGGGCGTTTTAGAAAATGAAACATCAGAGCAACAATGTTAAAAGATTACAGACACCATCTCGTAAGGCGCTGTTGAAACGTTGTTGTTTGCAGGCCTATATAATTACACAAATATTCTGGCCAACGGGAACACCTCAGACATTGATGGATTTGAATTATAAGTATGCGAAGACATCGGCCTACTTTCTATTGTAAATTAGCGTCTCATGCAGGAGATCACACCTAAATGTTCTATGTTTTTTAACCCTTTATATTAACATCGCTTTCGTTCATGGGGGGCTGGCAGGCAAAATTTTAGGACGGCTAATTGACCCATCTCCCGTTAATCTTTCGATCTGAAAATTAGCATATAGACTCGTTGCTGTTGACAACACATTCTATCAAATTTGTAGCCCCAGCCAAGATCTCCTTGACTCAACAAACGCCAGAACAAAAATTGCTTGTAGAATAATATACCCCGTACTAGTTATGATCCCCACCCTCCTTTATCACCCCCTCCATTTCCCCCCTCCTTTTTCACCTCCCTCCTTTTTCACCCCATCCTTTTTCGTCCCCTCCTTTTTCACCCCCTCCCCCCAAACAACCCGTGGAATCTAAAATTTGTTTGATTGTTTTTACATTTGGAATTTATACTCTGTTTATGCTGTTTGAGTAACACGTCTGCCTCTTCAATACAAATTGATGTTAATTTTCAAACAGATTCATTTTTAATGCTCTCTATAAAATCTAAATGATAATCATGTTTTATTCATAATGTCGTCAGATTAAGCCAGTTTTATTTTTTTTAAGGATTCTTATCTTCGGTCTTCTCAAACAGCACATTTGAAAAAAAAATAATAAATTTCAGCCTGAAAATTTGTAAGAGGATTGGGCGCAAAAAACTGCTTGGTCCGCCCCTGAACATATTTAATATGGACATTTGATACACAAATAACATACAGGCTACAGCATGCATTAAGCCTCGTATAGTGTCAGGCAGAGAGTATTGGTTCTATCAGATTGTTGGTCCTACCAAAGTAATGGTCCTATCGAAAAATTGGACCTATTAGAATATTGGTCCTATCAGAATATTGTACCTTTTAGAATATTGGTCCTATCAGAATATTGGTCCTACTAGAATAATATTCCTTTCAGAATATTGGTCCTATCAGAATGTTGGTTCTATCATAATATTGGTCGTACCAACATCAGAATGTTGGTCCTACCAAAGTAATGGTCCTATCGAAAAATTGGACCTATTAGAATATTGGTCCTATCAGAATATTGTACCTTTTAGAATATTGGTCTTATCAGAATATTGGTCCTACTAGAATAATGTTCCTTTTCAGAATATTGGTCCTATCAGAATGTTGGTTCTATCCTAATATTGGTCGTACCAGACTATTGTTCCTATCAGAATATTGAATATTGTGTTTAATGATCTTCGTGTGGCTATATTCATAGTAAGTTAATGTGATAAATATGTACAAATCCCTGGACCTGGTATATTTCCACATATTCTTAAGAGAGTCCATTGGCCAAAAGGTTTAGAATCCCTGGCGTGAACCCAACGGATGTTTAAAAAGTTACTGTAAAAGGTCAGCTTAACATAATGCCATCAGTGAACATTACACACTGAAAGCAGGTGTGCTGAGATCCAAGGGATTTGCATGCAGCCGTACAAAAGACGTGGCTGCCGCTGGATTGTAAATACTATTATCAAACTGAATAGATCGATCAGGTTGGATGGCGCAATGATTTTTATCGAATGTAGTGCCGTAGTGCGGCGGAGGTAGAAAAGCGTGTTATCCAACACCAGATCCCTTTTAAACCCAGCTAGTGGGTAGATAACAAGAGATTAAGCCACGAACAAACACCAACGCAAATACACTGAGACACGAGTAGATTATCTTTCCCTTCCATTGGGTGCTTTTTCGTTTGTGGTTTTGTGCAAGAAAATTTTAAAATATCGCTAAATGATTTTATTTATCATTTTAATCAACATATTTAATTATATATTTCTTTCAAACAATTTTTTTTATTGAATACTTTTTATAGCGCTTGTGTCCGTGCTATTTGAACATGGACACAGCGCTCTAATGTCCTAAAATCTAGTTAAAGAAAGAAATGTCTTTAAATGTTTCTTAAATGATTTTTTTTTTTATCACTTTCAATTTCCCTCAAAAACTGAAGCAAGCTGTTCTACAATTTAGGCGCCATATATACCATTTATTAAGAAATGACTACGATTTTATTGTTTTGAAGTTACCATTAAAGAAAGCCATGACTACGGGTCTGTTGTTCTGTAGTTACCTTTTAAGAAAAACATGACTACGGGTGTGTTGTTCTGTAGTTACCTTTTAAGAAAAACATGACTACGGGTGTGTTGTTCTGTAGTTACCTTTTAAGAAAAACATGACTACGGGTCTGTTGTTCTGTAGTTACCTTTTAAGAAAAACATGACTACGGGTGTGTTGTTCTGTAGTTACCTTTTAAGAAAAACATGACTACGGGTCTGTTGTTCTGTAGTTACCTTTTAAGAAAAACATGACTACGGGTCTGTTGTTCTGTAGTTACCTTTTAAGAAAAACATGACTACGGGTCTGTTGTTCTGTAGTTACCTTTTAAGAAAAACATGACTACGGGTGTGTTGTTCTGTAGTTACCTTTTAAGAAAAACATGACTACGGGTGTGTTGTTCTGTAGTTACCTTTTAAGAAAAACATGACTACGGGTCTGTTGTTTAATAGTTACCATTTAAGAAAAACATGACTACGGGTCTGTTGTTCTGTAGTTACCTTTTAAGAAAAACATGACTACGGGTCTGTTGTTCTGTAGTTACCTTTTAAGAAAAACATGACTACGGGTGTGTTGTTCTGTAGTTACCTTTTAAGAAAAACATGACTACGGGTCTGTTGTTCTGTAGTTACCTTTTAAGAAAAACATGACTACGGGTCTGTTGTTTCTTAGTTACCATTTAAGAAAAACATGACTACGGGTCTGTTGTTCTTTAGTTACCTTTTAAGAAAAACATGACTACGGGTCTGTTGTTCTGTAGTTACAAAAAAGCCATGACTACGGTTCTGTTGTTTAATAGTTACCATTTAAGAAAGCCATCATTAAGGTTCTGTTGTGTTCCTTTCCATTGCTCCCAGTATCTCTCTCAATTTTTTTTTTTTTTTAATCTTTGTTTAGCGTCTCTTACTCGCTAAATCTCTGACTTAACGACATCTTGCCAGCTGTTATTTTAGACAAAATTACCACAAGGACTCCAACGCTAAATGTTATCTAAAAATTTTAATAAATAATTCTGTCCGTTGCACTGATCTTCTAAGACTCAGAGATGTGCGAAAAATTCATGAACATAACTAAAATGATGTTGACACCTGTGACACAGCGCATGAGTGACCACACGAGAGGTAAGCGTTGTGCTACACGGTGGCTGTGTACGTGCTACAGTACAGCCTGGCAGTGGTGAAGTTTTTTTTTTTTTTTTTTTGTTTGGTTTTTTTTTTTTGGGGGGGGGGGGGAGGAGCGGACCGCACCGGTTGAACCCTCTCAGGGGGTGACACCAAATTGAAAAAGTTGCGTTTTTACAGAGCACACACTGCTCGGTCTAATCGAATTTCTTAAAAGGATAACCGATCACAGGAAAAATTTTCAAAATGCCCGCACGACATGTAACCAATCCTCAGGCGTGCTTTATTCAAAGTTCAAGGTTGATGCGTCAAAAATGATATGACTCTATAATTAGGTGAATAAGCTGTATGGGACTTCCTAGAATCTCGTCCGATGCTCTGCTCAGCCTTCTACTGTAGCTTACGATCAGAGATTCATGTAAGCGGGGCTTTTAAAAACTAAGGCTTATCAAGAACTATTTACGACCCATGCACCATGGGACAGTCAAGGCTTTCTGATCTGGCTCTAATATCAATTGAAAGTGATACGGCGTAGGATATTAATTTTGTTCAAAAGATTGACAGGTTTCTAGCTTTGAAGACCAAGAAAATAAAAATTTTAATGAAATAAATTTAATGTAAAAATAACGATAACTTTACGTTGTTACAGTTGTTATTTACATTTACCTCCTGACCTTCTGACCTCCTTACCTTTAATTAATTTGTTTTTGTTCCGTTCATCGTTATACTGTGAACTTATTTTAACAAGAGGAAATCCTTCGTGGAAGTAGGGGTAGAGGGGTGACACCATAAGTTTACTTAACCGGGTGACACCAACCCTAGCTACGCCACTGGAACCTTGTGTTTACCCCCCCCCTTTCCCCAGCTGTCAAAGTGACACTCAGAGCGTGTTCTAGTGACACTCAGAGCGTGTTCTAGTGACACTCAGAGCGTGTTCTCCCTTATTATTACTTTGTGACACCTTGCCACATATCAGTCCATATATCTATTTACGGTCTATTTCTCCATCCATCCATCTATCTAACTATCCTCTATCTATCGATCAATAAATCTCTTGCTCTATCTCACTAACACACACGCTCTCACACATGCACACGCTCTCACACATGCACACGCTCTCACACAACACGCTTTTCCACTCTCTCGCACACTATCACTGCCTCTCCTTTCCCAGACCCCCCTTCCCTTCTAAGGGGTAAAAAATTTCTGCCCCCCCCCCCCCCCTTTTCCAATGAATCCATTCTTGCAATTATTTATCACGCTTTAATTACAAGATTCCGTAATTACTGGAGACCAAGAAAGACAACCCAACATTCTAAGCTCACTTCCGGCACGTGCAGCGCAGACGGCAGTGAACAATCAATGGAGGCATTACCATGTCTTTGAAATTGTTGGCATTTTAGCGCGTCTCTGGCGAATGATAAAGCGACACATGACATAAATATAACCTGAGTATATGTCTTTTTTTTGTGTTTTAAAAAAAACATTATAATTCTTTTAGATGTTTCAAAACACCACATATGATGTCTTCGGCTCACCCTAACGTTATGATGAACAAAAGTAGAATAACTGTTGTACGCACGCACATAACACCACACAACACCACACAACAACACCACACAACACCACACAACACACACACACACACAACACACACACACAACACACACACACAACAAACACACAACACCACACAACACCTGAGGGTGTACAGTCTTATGACATGGTGAGGTGATTAGTAAAGTTGTAAAGGGGGCGTCCCTTAAATACGTCAACAGTTCTTAAGCAATTTTCGACCTCCCCCCCCCCCAATCCCTTTTGTCAACGACCGTCAAATTTTCAATTAATTATAATATAAATAAATATATAAATACATTTTACTTTGTTCTGATCTATTTTAATGACACAAAATTGTAGGAAAACACATTTTATTGCCTCTTTAGCTTGTTAATCAACAAGTTAAAAAGTTTTTGCGAAAGCAAGGCTTAGTCTAACCATGGTGCAACTGGCGAAAGCAAGGCTTAGTCTAACGATCGCGCAACTGGCGAAAGCAAGGCTTAGTCTAACCATGACTCAACTGGTGAAAGCAATGCTTAGTCTAACCATAGTGCAACTGGCGAAAGCAATGCTTAGTCTAACCATGGCGCAACTGGCGAAAGCAAGGCTTAGTCTAACCATGGCGCAACTGGCGAAAGCAAGGCTTAGTCTAACCATGGTGCAACTGGCGAAAGCAAGGCTTAGTCTAACCATGGCGCAACTGGCGAAAGCAAGGCTTAGTCTAACCATGGCGCAACTGGCGAAAGCAAGGCCTAGTCTAATCATGGCGCAACTGAGGCAAGTCCGGCTTACTAAATCCACTAAGTCCAATTTCGGACAGTTAGTAAGTCGGCTGACACTGTAATATTTGCAAGGTAAGTTGAATGAATATTTATCTGTTTCAAATCAAGTACTGTTGAGAAAACTTGCCTAGTCCTTAAAAATGATTAAAATTATCCCAAAGGCCAACAATGAACTAGTCTAGGACATTTTGATATTGCCTACTTTCATTTTGAACACCGAATGTTGACAAGTCATGACCTTCAAGACATTGGGTCCTTTATTGAACGATCTTTAAACACCATGGTTCCATCAAGCCTTTAAAGGCCCTGTACATTCAACATAGTAGTCCATTTTTAGATCCACTGAGACTAGGTCGCTTTTAGGGTATATTGGTGACCGTGTGACCTTGACCTATGGATAATGCATTCGGTACTAATAAAAGTACACAAAATGTTACTTAAAGTAAAAATAGATATTTTTTTAAACTTTATTTCATATGAAGACATTTCAGTTTTTACATATATTTAAATTGGCGAGCTTTGGGGTGGGTCCATGGGATGAGTTCATGGGGTGAGTTCATGGAATGAGTTCAAGGGGTGATGCCATGGGATGAGTCCATTTCGATAATTGAATTTCTGTGAAATGGAAAAAAATAACACAATAGATTGCTACCAATGCATGATCAACCGTTATCTCGTAATGATAATATCAGCCCCAATAAATTTAGAATCAAGATAATTTCGTTTATTTCAGAACTTCCTGCCACCGTTGGTGGGCGAGGTCAGTTTGTGAGAGTTCGTTTATAATCAACTGTTGGGATAGTCCGTTTATAAGCAACTAGTGGGATAGTTCATTTATAAGCAACTTTTGTTGACATAGGTTTAATTCCTAATGCCAGAATGTGGAACTTGTTCTTGTGGCAATAGAAAATATTCGGTGGTCACGTGAGTCGGGTTTCATTCCAAGCGAAATTAGCTGTTTTGCTACAATTTTTATATATATATATAAATATATATATATAGAGAGAGAGATAGATAGATAGATATATATATATATATATAGATATATATAGATATATATATCGACTTTCTCAGGAGACGAGATGGTAAATTTATGTCCTAAATCGTTTCCGTGTCCAGGCCCGTTCTTAGGCATACGCTGACTACGCATCCGCGTAGGGCCCCAAACGTGAAGGGGCCCCAGTAGGGCCACTTAACACCTAAGGGATATAGCAATGATGCACACACAAACAAATTATTGATAAACGGGGGCGATCTCCTTACTCAAAATAAGGAAATAAGTGCCACCAGAGCCATTCTTAGGCATGTAGGCAAACTAGGCAACCGCCTAGGGCCCCACTACCACCTGCATGTCCATATATTTCAGAAGTACACATTTCCTCTAGTGGCGGAATTATCAATATGGTCAGTGGTTACACGCGAGCAAAGAGGAAACATTGATGAAGGCAGAATGGAGGTGCCGCAGTGGTGGGTGGTGTTTTCTCCTCAGCTCGAGGAAGCTCCACCCCCGGACCTCCCCTTCCGGGGCCCTCAACCTACGCTCCATGCTTAGGGCCCCAAAACTCCTAAGAACGGCTCTGCCGTCTCATTCCCCACCACCCACCACCCACCTCGCCCTCGTTATTTATAACCTTGATTTTTTTCTTTAATAAAATACACATCTTCTCTGTATGGGTCAAACAATCCCTTCGTATATATTTCTCTTCTGGTGTGGCTGCTTACTATTCATAACTGGCCCTCCCCCTACTCAACATGTTTAATATTAATAGTGCTGAGTGGAGGTAGCTGTCAAGCAGAGAGCATCATGCGTGACGGATGAACTCGGGTAAAAAGTTGATTTGTTCCGGAGGCGACTGTTATACTAATCAATAGAGAAACACAAGTATGCTGTAGGATTGCCTATAGAACTGTCTGAAGGACTCTCTGTAGGACTGTCGATAGGACTATCTGTTTAAAGACTGGCATATATTATAGAAAATGAGACGTTAATTATTTTTTTTTAATTTTGGACCCACCGGGAATTTTTTGGACCCGGTGTAAAAAAAAACAACAACAACTGTACCCAGTTAAGCCATAGTAAACCCAGAAAGGTATACAAAGTTAAGATGATAAAGTAAACCGCGAAATGAAGTACAACTGCCTTACCATTTTAGCGGTCACGCTTAGTGCTGCATTACACAACCGTCGTGCACCACACCAGTTCCTTGATTTGAATAGAACGTGTCCTCTATTATAGCATAGGACGCGTACTTCGGCCTCTGGAGCCCGTCCTGACCGAGAGCGTCCCGCAACCTCCAGCCGTACTCCCAGGACGAGCAGAGGGGGTAAATGAACTTGTCCTCTGGTTTCTTGTCGTTCCTCATCCGGAGGTACAGCTTGCGGCCCCGGCCCAGCTTTGAGTAGCCCTCGTATAGCGTGTCCTTGACCAGCGGCAGCACGGGCCGCATCCCGACGTCCTGCAGGTCGTCGCAGGCATCGTCAGGAGGCACGGAGTGGGACGCCATCACGAACTCTGTTTTCAGCATGGGGTGTCTGGTCTCTGGGATGTCGGGCAGTTGGATGGTAAGCAGAGCCTGCTTGTTTAGGTCGCGGCGATGCTGGACCACCTCGGCGTGGTTAGATCTGGTCCGTGGTTTGCCGCGCAGGCGGTTGAACGCCATCAGCCGCGCGTGCGCCTCTTTCTCTATGGTCTCCTTCCATAAGTTCTGCATCTGCGTGGTCGGGAAAGGGTTTCGTGACATGGTGACGACTACCTGGGGATGATTGCGTCAACTTCGATTGCACTCTGCAGTATTGGGGGAGTCCTTTTAAACTGAGCTGCTTCCGAAGACTTGCGCCAATGTTTCTAACTTCCGTAATGACTGATTTCGACTTTTTAAAGCTCAACACACAATGATGACGTCATTGTAGTTTATTTTTTGGAAATCAGATTATGCAGGTGTGACATATAGGTTAACAGTTATGGTTGGCGGTTGTGTTTGTTTATTGAACATAATTATCTCAACCCAAGATTAAACTTGATTAGTAAAATAAATAAAAAGTTTAATTTAGTTTTAAAAAGGTTAAATATTCACATTTTTTTAATTTAATTGCTAATAATTTGAACTAAAATTCAGGAATAGATAGAAAAGCAAAGATTGTAACTTATGATATTCATTAGTTGTTTTGTTTGTTTGTTGTCATAATTATTTTTTTTTTATTTTTCCTTTAAATATTTTTTGAAAAATATTGTTATTTTGTTATCGTCATTTTAAAAACTTTAACATAAAATAGAACAGAACAACGGAACAATGGCTGAAGTTATAAATCAGCTGAGGAGCTTTAATGCGCTTTTAAAATATGTTTATTTACAATCTGAATACTTTCAAGTCTAGTTAAGAGAGAAGTGATTAGTTCTGTACGGATCATTTCATGAGCCGAGTAAGTCAAAGTCTAGAATACTGTACAAAATAGGTCAATTTTTCGTAGGCAAATCTACTTTGGAACAAAATAGCACAGTTTAAACAAAAATACTTCATTTTTTAAATATATATATATATCTTCACACTTTATTGAGCATTCGAATTAATGTACATTCATAATACTTGACAGGGTTCTTTTAACGCCAATAGTGATATTATTATGTTTCCCACATGTTCATCTAAAACTGATTCAGTACACAATAGCAGGCAACAACAGACATCTACAAATTATTGTGTTTTACGTGACATCTAAACTTTCCTATCCTGACAGGACATCTAAACTTTCCTATCCTGACAGGACATCTAAACTTTACTATCCTGACATGGCTTCTAAACTTTCCTATCCTAACATGGCTTCTAAACTTTCCTATCCTGACACGACATCAAAACTTTTCTATCCTGACAGGACATCTAAATTTTCCTATCCTGACATGGCATCTAAGCTTTCCTATCCTGACACGACTTCTAAACTTTTCTATCCTGACATGACATCTTAACTTGCCTACCCGACATGTCATCTAAATCCTATCCTGACATGGCATCTAAACTTTCCTATCCTGACATGACATCTAAACTTTCCTATCCTGACATGACATCTAAACTTTCCTATCCTGACAGGACATCTAAACTTTCCTATCCTGACATGTCATCTAAACTTTCCTATCCTGACATGACATCTAAACTTTCCTATCCTGACATGTCATCTAAACTTTTCTATCCTGACATGTCATCTAAGCTTTCCTATCCTGACATAGATAATTTCGTAAGACGAAACAAGCTGCACACAAGAATAAAATAACACAATGGTATAAGATGGCAAACACTGTTGTAACCAAGAAACAATATAGCGGTCATGGACGGCACGTATTGAATAGGGCAAAGGCGGAGCTTTCCACATCATTTAGAGTAGCTAAGCATTTGATTTCAATCACACATTATTCAGAGTAGTTAAACACTAGATATCAAAAACATTTTCAGAGTAGTTAAACACTTGACGCAAACACACGTTATACAAAATACCAAAAAAACAATATTTAGAATAGTTAAACACTTGACATCAAACACATTTTCGGAGTAGTTAAACACTTGACATCAAACACATTTACGGAGTAGTTGATATCAAACACAGGTATAGATCATCAAAATAAGAAGGGCATGGACTAAGGCTTCTCACCCGTGGAGCCGGGGAAATTCTCGAAATTATAATTTGCAATGAGAATGCCAAAAGAAAGCGAAACACAAAAAAAAAAAAAGTACAAATGTTGGTCTATATGTCGCTGAAACCGAATTTAACCAAAGAGAGTAATATTCGCTAGTTATCTGTTATTGGCGTTGGCTAAGAAGAAGATATGATGCAACTTCCAGCAATAACCAAAATCTTCACATCTTTCTTTCACTTGTTAGACTAAAAATAAAGATTAGGCAGTTATTAAAACCCACTATTTTATTATTTTTCAGTTAATAATATATTTTATTATAATTAATTTTATCCCAGGAAGAGCTTCAGCTTCATCCCGCGTTCCCGGGGAACCCGAAATCCCGGAGAATGAGAAACCCGAGTGTGGACGTGACGTGGCGACGATTGTGTGGTTGACTTTAATTAAGAATTAGTTTTTTTAATGGTTTGAAAAAAAAAACAGTTACATAAAAATCTGACTTTAAATAGACATGAGAAATGAGTCATAAATAAACAAAAATAGTAAAATAGCAACAGTCATATCTCATAACGTTACTTTACAGAAGTAAACACATTGTGCATGGGCAGAGCTCGGCAGAAGAAATGATGCCAAGGGGTAGCCGATGTTTTGAGACACAGAGAAGAATTATTATTACAAAAGTTTATGACAGTTTTTTCTTTCTTTCTATTGACAGCCGAGCCATTCATTGGTAGGCATACATGACAGCCGAGCCATTCATTGGTAGGCATTCATACATGACAGCCGAGCCATTCATTGGTAGGCATACATGACAGCCGAGCCATTCATTGGTGGGCATTCATACATGACAGCCGAGCCATTCATTGGTAGGCATACATGACAGCTGAGCTATTCGTTGGTAGGCATACATGAATGCCGAGCCATTCGTTGGTAGGCATACATGACAGCAGAGCCATCCGTTGGTGGGCATACATGACAGCAGAGCCATCCATTGGTGGGCATACAACAGAAATTCAAAGCGTCTTGTATCAATGTGTCTGTGTGTTATCTATCTAGGTGCCTGTGGATAATCTATCTGGGTGCCTGTGGATAATCTGACCATATGCCTATGGATACTCTATACAGGTGCCTGGGGATAATCTATCTAGGTGTCTGTGGATAATCTGACCATATGCCTATGGATACTCTATATAGGTGCCTGGGGATAATCTATCTAGGTGTCTGTGGATAATCTGACCATATGCCTATGGATACTCTATATAGGTGCCTGGGGATAATCTAGCTAGGTGTCTGTGGATAATCTGACCATATGCCTATGGATACTCTATATAGGTGCCTGGGGATAATCTATCTAGGTGCATGTGGATAATCTGACCATATGCCTATGGATACTCTATATAGGTGCCTGTGGATGCTAGAGAAGAACATTAAAGCAAAAAATGCGAAAGATCAAATGTGAATACACATAAATTTAGTTTCTAAAAGTGGTAAATGAAGCGCTTGAACTATTATGCCGACCAAAACTTGAAAGGAGAAAATGCCAAGCAGGATTTTTACATTACATCTATAATATCAATAGACTATAGTTGGTTCTTAGGGAAAACAACTTTTGTATATATATTTTTTTTTTGCTTTGTTTAACTCGGGGGGACCTCCACCTGGCCTGCTTAGTGTGCAATGTTGCTGTCAGTAACGAGAATTAGGATCGATTGAAATCACCCTCGTAAGGAGACCTTTAGTGCCAGCCTAGGTGTATTGATTCCGTTCACAAAGGCATACTTGCCTGGGTAGGTTGGGTTTTTTTTTTTTTTTTGCATTTACCTGGCAGGTGTGTAAACCAACGTTAGGTTCTGTTAACTAGAAATGGCGTCACGAAAAACAAATGTTTAAGGGGGTTGGGTTGGGTTCACAAAGGCGTGTTTGCCTGGGTAGGTTGGGTTTTTTTTTTTTTTTGGCATTTACCTGGCAGGTGTGTAAACCAACGTTAGGTTCTGTTAACTAGAAATGGCGTCACGAAAAACAAATGTTTAGTTTGTCTGGCACAAGATAATTTCCATTACAAAAAAACTTTAAAATTTGAATTAAAAATTTAAAAAAATAAAACACATTTATATTTTGTCATTTTTAAGGTTGTTATAAAACGTGTAAGAGCCATTTTCACATCAAAATTTTGACATCCAAATATGAATTGAACAAATGCAAGTAAACGTTCACACAGAAAAAAGATATGACATAATGAAAGGGGAAAAAACATTTCGTATCTATCAGGTGGTCGTTGGAGGTGGTGACACAACTTTAGCATTTAACTCTGGTTTATTCACAGGCACAGGTTCCGGGTGTGCGTGTGTGTGTGGGTGGTGGTGTGTGTGTATGTGTATGGTATGTGTGTATGGGTGGTTTTGTGTGTGAATGTATTTGTGTTACGTGTGGTATGTGTGTATGGGTGGCATTGGTGTGTGTGAGTGTATTTGTGTATGTGTGGTGGTAGTGTTTCCGGGGAATACGAGACGTAGAAAGACACAAATACAAAGTCTTTAAAATGACTTGATGAGAATTAAGTCCTGCCCATTTGACTTTGATGGCGGAAGTAGGCACAAAAGACATAATATGCATATTGGTGTGCATATCAAACCCGATTCACTCGCACAGACATCTTGGTGAAGACTTTCCCCCTCTCTCGTATAGACATGACATCAATGAAGTATATCGTATTCAATCATTTAACAGCACAATTAATGTCTGGAGACGTGATCACATTATTACAATAATTCTCAAAATATTTCTATCTGGACCAATATCACAGGATAGTTGGAATAGTGAAGACATGCAAAAAGCTGCTTAAATCACAACATTTGTTCTGTTTAACTCTTACATAACTGACAATTAAGACAACTATCATTCATGGGTCAGATAGGGTCTCAAGACAACTATCATTCATGGGTCAGATAGGGTCTTTAAAACAAATGTGTACATTGGATTTTTCATGTACAAATAATAACAACAATAAGTAAGCTTCAAAGAATCATGTTTAAACATTGTACACAACCAGAGCCAGAGTTAAACCAGGGTGGGGTAAAAGGACGCAATTTCCCGTCCTATATGTCCTCCTCCCCGTCCTATGTGTCCTCCTCCCCCGTCCTATAGGACTGGGTGGAGGGCGCATGGTACTGGGGCGCCACTTTTTTTTTTCGTTAAATGAATGGCCAGCATTTTGGGACACCTGAAGGGTTTGCTTCGTGAGAGGGGGGGTCTGCAAAATCTTGTCCGCCCGGGCGGCACTGGCCCTCCCTACGTCACAAGCTCCGATTTAAGGTCTGTCAACCTCTCATGGGCACCATTCAACTTATTTCACTACTGCCTTCACGTTGTAACAGCTAAATGTCGCCATGTAACATCTTGATGCATCCACACAATGTGTCTAAATCCGGCTCTGAGCATGCTACACCAACAACCACACCACCATTCTGAGCATGCTACACCAACAACCACACCACCATTCTGAGCATGCTACACCAACAACCACACTACCATTCTGAGCATGCTACACCAACAACCACACCACCATTCTGAGCATGCTACACCAACAACCATACCACCATTCTAAACATGCTACTCTAACAACCATACCACCATGACAAAACATAAACATATTTTACAATAAGAGTTGCAATCTTAGCGTGGAATCAACAATAACTTACACAAAAATAAACTATAAATAAACACTGTCCTTGACGGCCATTACTCCGTGGATTCAACTCAGCTTTGGACTCGTTCATTCCTATCATCTATTTTTAGAATCCCAATGAGATCACTCCCAGTTTTCAGGTGATAGCATGTCATTAAAATACTTGTCTCCTAGGTAGAATATTGTCAAAGATGTAGAACAAAAAGAAAGTTCCTCTGCTGGATCAAAAATAGTAAATGTAATACTTTTGCGTCTGTTGCTGAATCAAAAATAGTAAATGTAATACTTTTGCGTCTGTTGCTGAATCAAAAATAGTAAATGTAATACTTTTGCGTCTGTTGCTGAATGAAAAGTAGTAAATGTAATACTTTTGCGTCTGTTGCTGAATAAAAAGTAGTAAATGTAATACTTTTGCGTCTGTTGTGTATAGATGATTGTAGGAAGCCAAGCGGCCGTGGAGGGTGTCAGTCTGTGAAATAATTTAATCAAGATTACAGTGAAAGCTCACGAGTCAAAAAGTCTAATGAACTCTGTTGCAGTCGCTCATGAGTCCATTCCTGGTATAGAACGTGTCCTCTACGATTTTGGTCCGACCAAACTTGGGCTTCTTGATGTCTTCCTTCTTGATGACGTCACCTAGCCTCCAACCGTACTCCCAAGATGAGCAGGTGGGGAAGCTGAACTTGTCCTCGGGGATCTTGTTGTACCTATTTCTTAGGTAGATGCAACGCCCCTTTCCCTCTTTGGTGAAGCCGTCGTACAACGTACTTCTGACTGCGGGCGACGGTGCTCGCATTTCAGGGGCGTCAAGAAAAGCGCTGGCATCAACATTATCTAGACCCATCGGAGCGTTTAGGTCCGCTTTTTTCCTGCTAAATTTTTGATCGGTTGGTATAGGGGGCAATCTTTCCAACAGAGAATCGGATGGTTTGTTGTCTTCAATTCTTTTACGGAAAACTTCTAGTTGGCGAGGTTTACTTCGCTCCTGCCCTCTCATTTTAGCAAACGACTGGAGTCTAGCTGAAGCTTCTTTTTCACACGTTTCTTTCCAGAAATTTTGCATCTGTGTGTTGGCATATGGATTTCTCGCCATTTTAATTCCTTTTTGAACACTTTAATAAATCACAAGTAACTTTTGGAATATTAAACACACACGACTGGTACTGATCTGATAGAAGAAGCCCTCGTAGGCCTTACGTTTGAAGTATCAACGTCGCCTAGCCAACGTGACGTCACAACTTCTCGCGAGACTCAAACAATCAAGATGGCGCCTAGGTGGCCAGAAGAAGTCGATGTTTTCTCAGTTCCCCATTCAAGAATGAAAAAACTTGTTCACAAATATAGTGATCTGGTATATTTTGTTACAAATATTTTAAACTAAATGATCACTGATATTACTTCTGTTGAATTCCCTTGTAATGCAATTATAGTCAGTCAACGTGAACACATTTATTATAACTTTTATATTAATTGTTACTGTTACGTATGCCGTAGTCGTAGTAGAGTCATAGTCATAGTAGTAAAAAAAAGTAGTATAATAGTAATAGTCTTTATTCTTTAACTTTTTAATAGTTAAAACTATTATAGAAGAGGCAGCTTAGCCCTAATAAATTTAGGCCTACATCAAAAAGCAAAGCCTATTCACAAACTATTGTAATGATTCCCAACCTGTACTCCATTAAGTTTAAGCCTTAGTAGGCCTACTTTTTGTGTACTTCTCATGGTCATGGGCCCCACTGAAAGAAAACACCAGGACAAGGCCATTAAATTTTTGGCTGGGCAGGGTATCAGAAGTGACAAGTTGGGTTTATTAAAAAATATTTAAAATATTATTGAAGGGTATGTAAGACAAAATTTGGTATCAACAAATGAAAGATAACTGAATGAACTATATGAATAATATGATAATTATATGATAGGGACTTCGGTATCGAACGGAAATACCAAATACCAGAAAAACGGGTATCGTAATTTCGTTGTCATAATGATAATGGCGACCTCTACTTTTTAATTTACTAAGGGTATCGTTGTTTCGTGTTTTATAATCGATTTTTAGCATCATAATATAATTTTACTTCCGCCAATTACTTAAAGCAGACATCTTTCCTGTTATATTAAGAGTTCGTTTGATTTTTTGGGTCAAGATTAAAGCTTTGAAAACTGAAGTTAAAAATTGGTCAACTTCACTCAATAATAACTTTTTTTTTAAAAATGCGCTCAATAATAAAAAAACTCTGCTCATATAATTTATAGGTTCATTTACAACATATCCAAAATTCATGAGTGTAGACCATGGTTGGGCTTCAAAAACGAATTTCCAAGATGTAATTTTTTTAGGCTATGTCATTTGTCATCATGGCCACCGTGCTTGTCTGCTTATTTCCAATTATTGATAGCAGCCGTGGGGTAATTAATAATTCATTAAGTTGGTTATCCAGAGTGTAAATGGGAAATATAACTAATAATAAATCATTTTATATAAATAAAAAATGTTTTATTACATAAATAATTATTATTGGCTTATTGAATATCAGTGATTTTAATTTTTGGGTTGGTTGCGATGGACCTGGCTGACACTGACATGGGATTGATAAGCTCTTGTCTTTGACTTAGATAGTGATAGGCTTAGTAAAAGTATTAAAATAGTAATTATACTATTATAAATGATTTAATAAGAAGTGGGATAAATAGCTTTTATTACAACTAATATATTTATCATTTATATTAGTTTATATATTTATAGATAAATATTTATTTGTATATACATATATATAATGACCATAGGCTGAAGGCAGGCCTTGTATACATATAGTATAATACAAAGTATCCTATATAAGGGTTAAGGCCTAGACCCAACCCAACTAATTTGTAGCGCCTATTATAATAAATTATATTTTTAATGATATTTTAGGATATGTAATAAAATTTTAATGAATATTGGGATTCTTACTTAAGGCATAAAATAAGTAAAACATTTTAAAATATTCACTTACCTTTGGTATTGAAATATCCTATATTTAATCACATATCACAATATTCCACAAGAGAATTATTATATAATCCTCAGTTTCTCAAAGAAAAAACACACTTTCTGGCACTACAATCCAAGAACTACTTAAGATATTATTTCTAAAGAACAGTCATAAAAACCTGTACTTACCTCTTGTAAATGACTAGAACTTATTTTATTAACAGCTAAAGTCAAAGTTGATTCTAATAATACATGTTGATTTGTAAAACAAGATTATAAACTTAAAATGAATGACAGGCTGATTGTTTTGTCATACTCATAGGAATAATATAATATATAGTATACATATGTAGAAAATGGTAAAATAAAAAGTGTAATTGTCAATTTTAAATAAATAAAAAAAATATAAAAAAATAATCCCTTTTATTATTTGTTTATGCTTATAAATGCTAAACAATTCCACAGAAAATCTGCAATTAATATCTAAAGAATATTATTATTATTAGGATTTTTGGGAAATTAAAAACAAAATTAAAACAAAATTTTAATTAATTAATTACAAATAAGTGATGAGTCAGCATTTTTATACATTTTTAATAGGCAAATAATAAAGTTTTTTTTTTAAATATTTGCGGCACATTAACAAAAACTAACGTATATTTTTGGACTTTATTTAGAAGTACTCTTATTTAACTATGTTCCCTGTAAATATTATATTTTTGTCTCATTTTATAATAAAGTTATAGGCGTTAAAAAAAAAAGCAAAATGAGGGTCACAAAATGTGGAGGAAAATCCCATAGTAAAAAAGTGGTTTTGAGGTCCCTACTAAAAAATTCATAACTTTTGAACCACTTGAGCTAGAAAGTTGATCTTGGTGTTTTTGTAATCTATTCTCCAGGCTCTATACAGCTGTAGTTTTTTTATATTTTTAAAAATGTTTTGAAATTTTCATCAAAGTGGCCAATATATGATAATTATGTTTTTAAACTTACTTTTTCAGTTTAACTAAAATCAAACACCACAAATGACATCCAAATAATATGTAGTCTAAAGGAACCCAGGTCCGAAGAGCGGCTATGCGTAGTTAAAAGTTTATTTTTCTCCAAATTTGGCTCCTGAAATATCTAAGGCTTCCTGCAACTGCAGGGGTTGAAGGGCTCACATGATGGCACTGGTTATCACTAGTGTCATAACAATATGGGCAAAGGTAGACCACAATCCCAACGTAGCAATTTTTAAGTGAGGGAGGGGGCACATTTATTTAATTTTGCCCCATGCAGCCTTTAGATTTAAGTCTTGTAGGAAACTGGGTATCAAGCAAATCTGAAAAAGTTATTAATATGTGTGTTGGGTTTTTAAGGAAAGAAAGACTATTCATAGTTTCTTACCCCACTCACTTGAATCTACTTCTATTTTCTAAGAAATGTGTTTATTCTTTTTGTCCTAAAACTCAAAACAGCTTATGGTTATAACATAGTTACTTAAATTATAGAATTTAGTATCAGCCAAATTCTAATATTACAAATGTGTATGTAGGGAGCCATACCAAGGGCTGTGCAAAGGGGTGTGGTCTAATGGGTGGCAACCCCAGGCAATAGCTTTAGAGGGGCACCAAAATAATAAATAATCTTAGCAGCAGGGTCCTTTTTCTTTGTAAATATGACTGAGACTGTAGAGGAGGGTCCTTTTTCTGTCAACAGCATCAAAAATATGCACCAAAATATATCCCAGCATTTTGAATTAATTTTAAAAAATTTCTTGAGAGGGGCAACCCGCCTTCCTGACCTGTGTTCCAAAAACTATCCATAAAAAAAGGAACTATTATTGAAAATTGATTCCTCACCCAATGTGAGAGTGACTTTGGAGATTTCAGGAGTCCCTTATCAGGCAAAACTTTATTGAGTTGCAAAGCATCTCAATATTTACTTATCTATAGCGCTATTCGCTTTTCTTATTAGATGAAATATTAGCATGTTGAACAGATCTATCACATGACTCAAATTATTCCCTTTATCTTTGTCATTGCATATATTAATTTAATATAGAAAAATACATTTTCTGTAGGATATTAAAAATCATGTTACAGTTCTTAATGTTTTTTAAATGGGGCTGGCTCTAAAATATGTAGGCAAAAAATAAATTAATCACATTCAAAGGACCATTCATTGTTTATCAAATCATAATATAGAAAGTGAGGTATTGCAAAGAGGCCAAGAAAAATAATTTTAAGAGTAATAACAAACTCCCATTTTGTTAAAAATTTACAGATAACAACAACTGACTTTCGAGATGAAGACCATCTGACAACCCTGCTTGAAAATCTGAAGAATGTCTTTTCAGAATTTAAGGCTCATGAGCGTATAGAGAATATGCTGATCATGAAACGGCTTAGAATTAAACTACGAGCTGCTTCGGTCACGAGCGCTGCCGTCTGCAATTGCCACAGTGACAACAGATTGACAGACATGCTTGACTTGGTGCTTGATGGCTACAGGTGGGACAGCAATCAAAATTTAGAAAATGTCTCCTCTTGTCAAATGAAAAAAATATTTTAATAACAATCTTAGTTGTTTTTTTTTAACCATTAAACTAAAAGTTAATGTTACATTGTTGAATAATTATACAATATCTGCTACAATATCTGCTGTTGACACTCTTAAAGTTATTATTTTTATGACAACTAGTTTTATATGTGAAATATTATTTCACAAGAATTTTGAAGAAATTACACCCTCATTGTTGACTTTGCTTAGATGGACCCAAAAGACTGAGCGGGAACGTCAGCTATATGGCAGAAAGCTACGTCATGCCCTCGAGGATTTTACTCAGAATTTCATACCTCACATGGAAGAAGAAGAGGAGGTAAGTCTGGAGATTTTCTTTTAAAAACTTTTATTTTTCTCTGTCCATTTATAGATGAATAACCTTTGAAATCAGACTTGTTTCCCAATGAAAGAAGCTATATAATTATTTAATATTTTTACTACAAGTTAAAAGAAGCTATATAATTATTTAATATTTTTACTACAAGTTAAAAGAAGCTATATAATTATTTAATATTTTTACAAGTTAAAGAAGCTATATAATTATTTAATATTTTTACAAGTTAAAGAAGCTATATAATTATTTAATATTTTTACTACAAGTTAAAGAAGCCATATAATTATTTAATATTTTTACTACAAGTTAAAGAGTCTATTCCACATCATGGTTTCCTTAAGATAGAAGACAGAGAAAGATA